TCGAAATCCTTTTTTCTTGCAATTGTGAATCTATTTTCAAATATCCTGCCCTTTGTGTTGCTCACAGAATCTTTCGTCAGACCACCATAAATACATCTACAGTGGGGAAAAAAAGTATTTAGTCAGCCACCAATTGTGCAAGTTCTCCCACTTAAAAAGATGAGAGAGGCCTGTAATTTTCATCATAGGTATACCTCAACTATGAGAGACAAAATGAGAAAAAAAAATCCAGAAAATCACATTGTAGGATTTTTAAAGAATTTATTTGCAAATTATAGAAAAATCCTACAATGTGATTTTCTGGATTTTTTTTTCTCATTTTGTCTCTCATAGTTGAGGTATACCTATGATTAAAATTACAGGCCTCTCTCATCTTTTTAAGTGGGAGAACTTGCACAATTGGTGGCTGACTAAATACTTTTTTGCCCCACTGTAGCTTTGACCATACTTTGAAGAGCTGAGTGCTGTTAGGATTATCAGTATCCTAACATGTGACAGTTATTATGCTTTGGATAGTTCACCCGTCCTTGATCACAGTCGCTGTCCATTAGCAGAGAATAGAGTGCGTCCGGAAGCTTGGGCTGCTGACTTCACAGCCAGCGCTTTTTTTATGAAGGCACATCCCAAGTTGTCTCTGCATTTTTAAGCTGAGATAGAATTTTAATATAAAAAATGATTGATGAATATGAATTTTAAGGTACTGTAGGAAGGTTATAACAGTTACAGCCAGGCTCAGTGATACAGTGTGGTATTATGCTAATACTTAAACACTTACTGCATGCTCAGTATTTACTTTCCGAAGTACGTACTTTTGGGCATATAGTATAGTATGCAAATATGGACACAGCTAGTGTCTTTGCCTTCACAGTGGATGGAGTTTGTGGTAAGAGAATGTAGATTGAAAACTGTTGTAGTTTTTAGCTTCAAACAAAGCGCTGATGCTGCACTGATTCAACCTCCGTCACAGTACAGTGCCATTTGATGGCTGCATTGAAAATCCTCTACAATCAGCTTTGCTCAGCTGAATTGAATCACATCATTAGAAACCATTAGAGAGGAAAATCTGTGTCACCTCACCATTCTAGCGGTTCAGTCCCTCAGGCTCCTCCAGAACTGATATATGTCACTATACTGTTCTCCACTCATACACAATATCCTCATCTCATCGGTCCACTGCAGGATTTAATGATTTATTACTCTCACAGCTTCCAAGCTAATTTTCCTGGTAATGTGTCATGGAGTTAAAATTTTAATATCCACCAATATTGTACACAACTACTGCTGACTGTTTGAAATTATAAACATTTCGATCAGAAATGACAGCATTTGGAAAATTATGCTCCATACATGATTTTAATGGCAAATGGGCATAGTTTTTTACTGCTTTAAATTGAAAAAAGTATTATGTATTTATTTTCACATTTAATTTGTTCAGTTCTTATAATAATAATAGTATTTGTAATTAATGTAGTTGTGTTAAATTAGAAAACTTAATAAAATAGACCCCGAAAGCAGTTTCTTTTCTTGTGTAGAAATCACATTTTCTTTTGTAAAGCTTTTTGTAAAATGTAAGAAATAATAATAATAATAATAATAATAGTAGTAATAATAATTATTTATTTATTTTCTAATTGTTATGCTGATAATGTAACACACACACACACACACACACATACATATATGTATGTGTGTGTGTGTGTGTGTGTGTTACATTATCAGCATAACAATTAGAAAATAAATAAATAATTATTATTACTACTATTATTATTATTATTATTATTATTTCTTACATTTTACAAAAAGCTTTACAAAAGAAAATGTGATTTCTACACAAGAAAAGAAACTGCTTTCGGGGTCTATTTTATTAAGTTTTCTAATTTAACACACGCCAAACAGGAAATAAATATGAAATCTGAATATATAAATGTAAATTGTGAATATATAGAAGTAAATCTGAATATATATTTAGAAATCAGAATATATAGTTATAATTCTGAATATATAGAAGTAAATTAGAATATATATATATTTAGAAATCTGAATATATAAATGTAAATCAGAATCAGAATATATATATATTTTTTAAATCTGACTATAAATGTAAATACGAATATATAGTTATAAGTCTGAATATATATATACAAATTGTAATATAAAAATGTAAATCATGAATATATAGAAGTAAATCTGAATATATAATTTTGAGTCTGAATATATAAATGTAAATTGTGAATACGTACTTATAATTCTCAATATATACATGAAAGTTGTAATACATAGATAAAAAAAACGGAATATATAAATACAAATCATGAATATATGTATAGAAGTTAATCTGAATAGTTATAGTTAAAAGTATAGTTAAAAGTCTGAATAAATATAATTAAAGCCGAAAATATAGTTTTAAGTTTGAATATATAAATGTAAATTGTGAATATATATAGTTATTATTTTGACTATATAATTGTAAATCAGAATGTATATTTATAAATCTTGAGTATATAAATGCAAATCTGAATATATAGTCTACATCTCAACGTAAATATATCTTTATAATTAGGCATGTCAATATAGGTAGATGTTCTTACTGCTTTTTTTTATGAAAACAGTATGCCTATGTATCCTGTACATATATCAATGCAGATATTGTACTATATTAATTATTGTAATTATTGCTGTCCATGACATGTTGCTGTAATTATCTCAATAAAATCACTATTTGTAAACATGATGTTTTTGACAGTTTCCCTATCCCTCTCAGCCATTTTGAATTGTGTAGAAAAGATTAACACTGTCACTTTGAGGACCTTCTGGTACCACAGCCAGGCTTTTTTAAAGTAGTGGGAAAATACTCCTTTTGGTTTAGATTAGCAAGATGCACTTACAATAATTAATATAGTACAATATCTGCATTGATACCTGTATACAGGATGTATAAGCATAATGTTATCATTTAAAATAAATGTCTCTTGACATGCCTAATAATAAATAATAATAATGATATAATGATGTCGGGATGTAGACAATATATATTCCGAATTACAATTATATGTTCAGATTTCTAAATATATATTTTGATTTACAATTATATTTTCAGAATTATAACTGTGTGTGTGTGTGTGTGTGTGTGTGTGTGTGTGTGTGTGTGTGTGTATATATATATATATGTGTGTGATGCACTGATACGGGTATCGGTATCGGACCCGATACTGGTCTCGCAGACATCACTGGAAAGTTTGTAGTTCCGTCGGATATGTCAAAAACAAGTAAGTAAAACAATGCACAAGTTACTTAACGGTAGGGAGAGAGAGAGAGATATTTGATGTTCACTTAGCACACGCATCATTTGGATTAAAACTAAATCGTAAAAATAAGACCATTCATAGGGGCATTCACTATAAACATCATCTATTTTCAACCTTAGGCATACAAGACTTTCTGGCGAAAGTGAAACTAACAGCCTGTGTGAAATGTGCTAGGCTGTCCTGTACTTGTCCCTCTCATTCTGCATCAGTACAAATATGTGCACGCGTTGCGCGTGTTTTGCTTGCTTGAGTGTTTCTGCATTATATGAGTGGCTTTGGAATATAAATCGCAGCACATTTCAGATGAAAAAATGTGACTTCTATTTCTGAAAATATCACAGATAGAAGATTTATAGCAAGTGGTTCCCTGCAATATTACAGCAAAGCTCGTGATTACAGTACTAAGCCGCTGCAATGGAGCAGCTCTAATGCTATTAAATTAAAGATGATGTACCACAGAGCAAAAAAATGCACAGTGAAAGTAACAAAAACTTGTAAAATACATTTTAATGGGCATAATTA